AAAGGGATTTGATTAAGTGATACATGCATACATCTTGGCACCTAGCAATCCGTTACATAGGCAATTTCACATACACATCATATTACAAACGACAAATACTCAAAAACATAAACTTATATATGTTCCCTGACAGAAATAAACAAGCTTGATCAAAAGGCATAGTCAACCCTTATGCTCTTCCCAAACACAAACAACACATAACATGTAAAAAGGTAATCATATATCATGGTAGTATATAAACATCAAAATGCTAGTAATGCATGTCTTATGTCATGCTAGAATCTCTACGACGACCTCTTGCCTTAAGACACCTCAATATCATCAATCTCAGTACCTGAAAAATATTCCCCAAATAGGATGAGATTTTGACAAATCTCAGTAAACTAGGGGTCCTCAAGGATTCCTCCGCCCCAAGTTCACGTACAAGTATAATATAAGTATGAAAACAACATAAGGAGTATATAAAGATAGATGTACAATGCAGCATCGTATGTCTATGTCATGTGTGTATACAAATCCTACTAGCCAGAGAATAATAAAGGCATTACGCACGTCTGCAACCTATGCAAAATATAAGGAGTTCACCTTATACCTCAACACGCGAATTTACCATCTTTCAGGGGTTACCGTTCGATGTGGTAGCCCCACATACATATACATATGGTAATGCACAATAATAAATATCATCTCAATAATAGATCAAGAACTCATAATGTTAACAATATCATTTTCCAAAACACATACCAAGCACATAAACTAACCTCCCATGGAGTTTGGTGGAACAAAAAATAGATTAATCTGAGGACCAAGAGTTTACCTTTATTAGCAACATACTCCAATGTACTCTCAGTATCTAAAATACCACAATCATAGGCTCTCACAAAATTACAACCTATTTCAAAAATGTAACGGTAATTAGCAAATATACTAGTTTACTACGTTCATTTCAGTATTATCTTTTACGTAATCACTCTTTAAATAGGGACACCAACTCAAGGTGGGAGGAATTAGATTAACTCCCTAGAGTCCCATACCTTTTAGATCCTCACTCGCTAGCACAATAGAGTTTAAAGTCGTTTCCTTGAAATTTATTCCAGAGAAACTACTCTAATTGTGAATATGACAACATACCTTGTTTACTATTTTTAAAACTGGAATTTCAACTCTTTATCAAAAATTCTAAGATTTTAATATGTTAAACTAGATACCTCAAGATTTCCAATGACATATTATATGTCTTAATTGGAGTTGTATAACTCCGGTTATGTTTTTCGCAGAGTGACTGCTGCAAACTGAATTTCCAGTAACCAAGTCGCGACTTCAAACTCAAGTTGTGATCAAACCACTTATCCAATGGCTACGAAATTTTATAGGGTTGCAGCCCTGTGTGTTAGCTTCACATAAGTCTAACCTCACTCAATTTGGAGCTCTGTAGATTAAGATACTGAATTTTTACTAAAACAGGTTTGCTGCTATCGCAATATCCGGATATGCATATCCAGATATCAATATTCGGATATTCTACTGTTCATATCCAGATATTCTACTGTTCATATCCGGATATTTGTCGCAGAACATCATATTTTCATCCAAAACATCATTTTTCATTATTTAATCCCATAAGATTCTATTTTTAACATTTACAGATGTTCAAGCTTCCCTTTTTAAGCATGTTTAAGTTAGTGGTCATCTTGGTTACTTATTTTTCTCATTTAACATATCCAAGACTCAATCTTTTACATAAAAACTCAAGAGGAAAGGTTGAGACATATACCCAAGGCTTCAAAATTGTCAAAAAGAAGAGTTTTCAAGGCCTATAACCTACTTCCAACTGTTGCTAAGACAAGTGCATGAAAATGGCTTGTCAAAGGATGGTTCTTTCTCTACAAATTGAGCTCCTTGATGGTTCAAGGTGTATGTAGATGGCTCCAATCGACTAAGTGAAGGAAGAATGGCCACAAGCTCCACAAAATAGAAGCTTAATCTTCTCAAGAAGAGGTTTTTCCTCTCCCCAATGCTTCCTTTCAAGGGTCTACACTAGTTAGGTGATGAGAGGAGTAAGAAATGAGGTAGCTTGCTTAGGTTTTCATGGAGGATGAGTGGTTTCTTGGAGAAGAGGAGAAGAGCAACTCTAGGTCTAATGAAAATGAACCTACATGGGTGATATGAAGACTGAGAGGGAGTAAGTGTGTTTAATAATATTATATGGTCTCACTTAACTTAACCGGCATAAACCTATACACCACCCTTGCTTAATCCTCTATTTATTTTAAACTACAGTGTCTTATAAATTTAATGACGCTAAATCTATAATTTATTTTCAGTTTTGAGTATTTTTCTATACCTGCAGTTCCCACTGTGATACCTGCAATATCAACATTTTCACCGAAAATGACTAAATCCCAATAATTAATATTTCCTAATAATTACCAAACCTTAAATATTAATTTATTAAATAATTATTAAAATCAAAATTGATTTCTTTTAACTTCCCGGATAATCTCGTCAGTACACCTTTTTACCGCGAAATAGGCTACATTTACACTTTTCCTCGAAAAGTGAATTAATTTAAATAATTATAAATTCTCTCTAATTATCCTATTTGAATTATGAAATAATTTTCTTAAATCATAATTTATTATTAAATTATTAAAATTCCAATTTAATGGTATGAGTTCTTATAAATAGGATTTTATTTCTTCCCTACAGATGGCGCCAATGTTATATCCTAGGGACATAGATATCATCTAGTCAAAAGACTAGTATGTTGATGTTGGATATAAATGCTCTCTCATATCTATGAGTGAGATATCCTTAAATTTAGCATATCATTGTGCACTCAAAATAAAAATGTTTGCCAAAGGGGTGGTGTCATGTGTGTGCATAACGATAATAAAACATATAACAATAGAGAGAAAAAGTGTTCATACTTGTAGACTTTAACTCTTATTTATAGGATTTACCTTTGGGTAGTGGAATAACTTGACCCTTGGTGCCTCCTTTGAAAGCCAGTGTCCAGGTTCATAAATCTTATCTTACTAACTGGAATCAAAGAATTAGTAGATTTGTTCCGCCCATGTCCAAAATGGGAATGCGCTAGGAACAAGAAGATTTAATCAGAAAAAAATTAATACTTTCCTTTAATTATATTAGCTTCCTCTTTCTCTTGCCCATTATTGAGCTTTATATAATGTGGGTCTCTTATATAGGTCCATAACAATCTTCTATGACAGAAGAAACACTAAACACATAATTAAATTATTATTATTTTTTGGTAAATCATAATTAAATTATTTTAATAATATAGAAATATATAATTGGTTAGCAATATTAAAACTTGTACTCTATGAATAACTTAAAACTAAATTCTATTAGTAAATAATTAAATAATTATCCATTTTTAATACATAATCTGAAAGTGAATAAATATAAGAGATATCATGATACACACTAACACCATCTGGGGAGGGGCATAAATACCGTAATCCTTGGACTCGCACCCGAACTTTGGATTAGTCCCATAGGCGGCTCAAACAGTCGAACCTGTGGGGATACCGGGGGGTTCTGATTCGCCTCAAAAAGATAATTAGGATCAATTTCCTTCCAAAAAGAGATATCATGATACAAGGTATTAATACAGTAAAGAATAAAATTTTAATTTCAATTCATTATTAGTTACGGTAAGTTTTTTTATCTTATCAATCAATCATTTAAAATTTATAATTAATTTTAATAATCGAAATAAAAATTAATCTTACAATCATAAAATATAAAAAAATCAAAAAATATATATTTGTTAATTATTATATTAAGTGTTTTATTTATAAAATAATTATTATCATAATCAAACAGATTTAATAATGTGATAACATTAGTTTGATGACATAACACATCCAAAAAAATATTGAACTAAAATAGAAAATAACCTATTGTTGGATGTGGCAACGTATCTTCCATGGCATATGTTTTTACCCAGGGATATATAAAAGGTAATTAGAATAAATAAATAGAAAGTAAGCTGATATTATACTTGATATAGAAACAAAGTTACGGTGAAGTGTAAATTTTTAAAATTTTATAAAAAATTTAAAAGTTAATACATGCATACACCATCACGTACATTCGTTCATGCATGAATTTCGTTTCTTTACGTGAATTCATGCATGAACGTACGTGAAATCACGTGTGTAACTAACATTATTCTTTTCGTAACCTATGCGCGCCCCGTCTCCGGGGTCGGCAAAGACTTAATTAAGAAAGAGAAAAACTTACATGTTTTTCATATCATAAAGTTGATTTTTCATTTGGATAGAACACACTACTCCTGAAATTTCCCTTGAATTCATATGCAACCGTATCGAATCTTTTTTTCTTCTCTTTAGAGCTTAAGTTGCCCAGTATAAGTGATATCAGATCTCCAGCATTGACTCTTATGTAACTACCCTGCCCATGAATATCTCCCATTTTCTGTTTTAACTGGGGTTTTGGTCGGCGGCATGGAAGAAATTCTAGTCACTCCGAGTAAGAAGCGGAGCTTCCAAAGAGGATAATCAATCACCCATTTTCAACGTTGCTGCTTTCCATTTCCATAGTCTACCATTTTTTGGATTTTAATTTTTATTGGGCATAAATTTTTCTATCCCATCAGCTGTTACAAGCTTCCTCAGCCATCTCTGCCAAGGTAATTACAATCCCACCTATGAACTAGGAACTGCATCTGTGATTCTGTTCCTTAATTTCTCTTATTTATTGGTAATTGTTTCCCAAACTTTTTTTATTTTTACTTTTATTTGTTAGGTTCATCCGTGAAAATGCACCTTGCAATCAGGACTCTGCGGAGGAAGATCGGGATTGAATAAAGTTGTGTCCTTTATGAGAAATTTAGCTTTGTGGTGTATCCTGAGATAGCTCCACTCAGCAATTTTGTTTCTTTTCTCTCTTTTTTTCTCAAGCTTTTTCATTAAGAGGATTGCAGAGACAAGTGAGGCCAATTGCGGAAAATGGAGGTTGGGGAAATGGACAGAAAGGAGACACAAACAGAGGTTCCATGGATCCCCACAACCCCTGCTAAGCCCATTCTTCCAAAACCAGTGCCGATCTACTCACCTGGGGAGGGAAACCAGCTTGACCATTGTGCTAATGGAACAGTTGCATGTTTTGAATTCTCACCTGGGGTCGAGAAAAACAGGACGCCCCATGATGGGTCAGCACCTGCGGCTACAGTGGCAAACATTGCCGGTGACAATAGCAAAACTTGTGATAATGTTTCCAGCTGGAGTAATCTCAGCTTTTCCGAACTTTTGTTCCTGGCAGATGCAGCATCGGCAAATTCTAATACAACACTACCAGGCAATGATGATGGATTAAAGAATCCATTTATTCCTTCAATCAACCATGACAACACCCGGGATCCTCATGGTAAGTGCAACTATTTTTGGCTCCCACTACTCGTTTTATGTGGTATGATATAAATTTTTCCCCTTGATAAGCTAAAAATTTGAAAACCATACATAAAATATTCAAAGATGTAACACTAAGGATGATGACATGGGGGAAAAAATTAGGCCACAGGAGTGCCTGTAAAATGAATAGAGCAACGAAAAGGGAATGAGGGAAAACATGATAAATTTCAATGTGATATTATATTTCATAGCAGTTTCTACTCGTTCCAAAGCAAAGAGCATATCTTAGGCATACTATCTTTTCCCATTATCATCATTTTGTGCTGAATCGAGGATATCTGATTGCCAAGTCAATTTTTAATTTCTAAGCTTTTATTCAAAGAACTAGTTTTTCACTAAAGTAGCATATCAGAGTACATTTTTTCACTAAAGCAGCATGTCAGGGTACATTTTTTCCCTTAAAATTATCAATCTTGAGACCATACTGGCACGGCATCCACCATTTTCTTACCAGTAATTTTCAATTTTAATTTCCTTTTAATACTTGATCAGTCTGAGACCATATTGTTCTTACTCTGGCTTTCACAGGATCTTTTGACACAGAAACATTGGACATTGCTTGCTGTAGCAAGAGAACTTCCCAGCATACCCCACTTGCACCAGACAATGCCATCAGAGCAGAAAGCAAACAAATAGCATCAATGCAAGTCAATATGGAAGAAAACGATCCAGGAGGGGAAGAAAAAAATGTCCCTGCCAGAAATGTTGACAATAATGGAACCCTACCCAACAAAGAACTCTGTGACCCTGTCATAGAATTTGCTACTGTTTCTTCACCATTCAAAGAGAATCACAACCTGGTTAAGGGAAGCAGCCATGATATTGATCTAAATAAAATACAACAAAAACCAAGGAGAAGAAAGCACCGCCCCAAGGTCATCATCGAAGGCAAACCCAAAAGAACTCGGAAGCCAGTTACACCAAAGCATATTCAATCAAAAGAAAACCCCACTGGCAAGAGGAAGTATGTGAGAAGGAAAGGACTGACCAAGACTTCTACTCCTCCAACAGAAGTGACTGGAGAGTTGACTAAAGAAATGTCCCAACCTGCCAAAGTATCTTGTAGAAGGTCTTTAAATTTTGACTTAGGAGCAAGAGATGAAAGTTTTGCAGGCAGAGAAAACGAAACTGCAAATCTGGGCAAAGAAAATGGTGTAGTTGTACAAGATACCAATGTAGGCCTTGCCTATATATACACTTCCACGAAGCTGGCATCAGACGGTTACATGTCATTACCAGAAGACCCACAAGCCCCAAATACATCTCCTTCAAGAAGTAAACCCCCTGGGGCAAAGCCAAAAGAAAACCCAACTGGCAAGAGGAAGTATGTGAGAAGGAAACGATTGAACAACGCTTCTGCTCCTCCAACGGAAACTACGGGAGAATTGACTAGAGAAATTATGCCTGGATCTGCCAAAGTGTCATGTAGAAGGTCCTTAAATTTTGACAAAGAAGCAAGAGGGGAAAGTTCTGCAGTCAAAGAAAATGCAACTATGCATCTGGACAAAGAAATTGATGTAGTTGCCCAGGAAATGAATGATCTAAACACTTCCATTACACAGGCACCAAACAGTTACATGTCATTACCAGAAGATGCACAAGCCCCAAATATATCTCATTCAAGAAGAAATCCCCCTGAGGCAAAGCCAAAAGAAAACCCAACTGGCATGAGGAAGTATGCTAGAAGGAAAGGATTGAACAACACTTCTGCTCCTCCAACAGAAGTGACAGAAATGATGCCCATGTTTTCAAATTTTGACAAAGGAGCAAGAGATAAAAATTCTGCCGACAAAGAAAATGCAACTGTGCATGTGGGCAAAGAAGTTGGTGTAGTTGCACAGGAAATGAATGTAGGCTGTGCCTATTATCTAAACACTTACACGAAGCAGGCATCAAATAATTACATGTCACCACCTAATGACACACAAGCTCCAAGAACATCTCCTTTAAAAAGCAATCCCCCTGGGGAAAAGCCAGAAGAAATTCCAACGGGCAAGAGGAAGTATGTCAGAGCAAAAGGATTGAATAATTCTTCTACTACAACAGAAATGACAAGAGAATTGACTGAAGCAATAACGCCTGAATCTAACAAAATGTCATGGAGAAGGTCCTTAAATTCTGACGTAGGAAAAAGAGATGAAAGTTCTGCAGGCAGAGAAAATTTAAATGTGTATATTGGCAAGGAAAATACTGTGGTGATAGAGGACACACATGTAGACCTTGGCTCTGATCAGAACACTAGGATGAAGCTGGCATTAAATAAATACATGTCAGTTCCTGAAGACATACAAGCTTCAGGTACATCTTCAAAAAGAGATCTCCCTGGGGCAAAGTCAAAAGAAAACCCAACTGGCAAGAGGAAATATGTAAGAAGGAAAGGATTGACCAAGACTTCTACTCCAACAGAAACGTCACGAGAATTGACTGAACCAATAATGTGTGAATCTACCAAAATATCATGTAAGTCCTTAAATTTTGACAAAGAAGCAAGAGATGAAAGAAATGAAGGCGGAGAAAGCCTTTCCCATGATCAAAACAGTTTGGTGAAGCAGGCATTATATAATTACATGTCATCTGAAGACAAACAAGCCCCAAGTACATCTCTTTTGAAAAGCAATCCCCCTGGGGCAAAGCTGAATGCCAACTCTGTAGAGAACAAAAACAAAAGAAAGGGCCAGGAAACTGCTCAGGATGGAAACATCAGTAGCAGTCAAATTTCAACAATAAGGTCACAAACGGTTGGTTCCAAGAGAAAACGTTCTAGTACCACTAAACGTGCAGATAAAAGCAGCTTGAATCTGAATGGGGCACAGTATAATGGGTTGCCCTCATACCAGACAAAGTTTTCGGTTCAGTTTCCGAACATTCAGAAGAAGAGGAGAACTGAAAAGGGGAAAACTTCTGACACTTACATTACATCTTCCGTGACTACCACAAAAGAAGTGCAACTAACATGCCCTCAAGAAGATGCACCAGCACGTCCTTATGCATCAAGCTCTAGCTGCTGGATTTATAGTTCTGGATGTAGTGCAGCTAGAGTTCCAGCCATAAGTGAATCAGCGGCAAGTGTTATTCATAATACTCAAATATCTGATGAGTTCATCTTTGTTAGAAGGCTGAGGGAATGTTCTATATCTTCTACTCAAATTTGTGGTTGTGGTTCTCTAACCAGAATTAGAAACTGTGATACTGAATCAAATTATACTGCAAAACAACTAGGCATCTCTGACAGACTAACATTTGGGGATGCAGAAAGGCCACAAAAATGCATGGATGCTTTAGTTGCAGACATGCATGCATCATTCACAAAAAAACAGCGAAGTAGAAAGAAAAGTGCTCTTTCCAATTCAGCATCTTCTAGCACCAATGAGATGCAACAGCACCATAATTTTGTGTTGGAAAATTACCACCTGCCGCTGGTGAAGTCATTAGGTATTTCAAATGAACCCTTGATTTTCTGTGTCAATAACATTGTATGCATGTCAAAGGACAAATAATTCCACCATGTAATTTTTGCATTGCAGATATGGCTTCTGGAGTAATATGGAAAACCATGGAGGATGTCGATGCATTAGCAGAGCGAATCAGACAACTAAACATCAACAGAGAAACCAGAGGCCTTGTCTTACACCAGCAGAATGCTCTTGTCCCTTATAAACAGGAAAATCAAAATCAAAGCAGCCTTGTCCGTGGAGATGGCATCATCATTCCCTTTCAGGGATCATTTGATCCCATCAAAAAACAGCAACCACGACCTAAAGTTGACCTTGATGAGGAGACTGATAGAGTGTGGAAGCTTTTGATGTTAGATATAAACAGTCATGGGATTGATGGAACAGATGAAGACAAGGCCAAATGGTGGGAAAAAGAAAGGAATGTGTTCCGTGGAAGAGCAGACTCATTTATTGCACGGATGCATCTTGTACAAGGTATCAGTGCAATACTTTCAATAATATTGACATTATTCAACTTTGACACACACCTCTAACAATGCACCTACCTACATGTGGTCAATGAAGTGGAAGAAATGAGAAAAGGAAAGAAGATAAAAGAAAAAACTACACTTTAGGAGGATAAAAATATTAACATTAACCATTTTCCTGCCTACCAAAAACGTACCGCAAAAACCCAACCGTAAACCCCACATTCCCACAACTATAAAAAAAAATTATCCCACCAGATCCCCACAACTATAAAAAAAAAAAATTATCCCACCAGATCCCCACAACCATGAAATGATTTGATAGTATCACAAGAACAAGGGTCATTTCAATGATAACAAAAATATAAGGACCTCCACTTAGTTTGGTGATTTTCTATTGTAGCTTTTCTAGAAATAGAGTAAAGGCAAGAAACTTGTACGACAGATAATAACATCCTATATCTCATCCTAATTCATAAACTTCAGAGTATCTTGTAAGCAACAATCATAAAAAAAGATAACAGCTGATTTATTATAATACAAACTAAAAAAAGGTACGCAGAATTTTTTTCAAGCGGAGTATACATATACCTTAATCTAATTTGATTTAGATAAATGTACTACTTACAGGAACACTATTAATGAAACCATATCCTTAGTATGTTATTACAACATAAAAAGAGAATAATAATTATTGCAAGTTTATACGATATCCTTAGTATGCAAAAAATCTCTAACAACCAAAAACTTCAGTTAACAACAGTTTATTCCATTGCATTCATTGACTTTTCTCACAGAGTTCATATATTAATATAAAGCATAATCAACAGGAGACAGACAATTTTCTCAATGGAAAGGGTCAGTCGTGGATTCAGTGGTTGGAGTTTTCCTCACTCAAAATGTCTCAGATCATCTTTCCAGGTATAAACTCTGCAAGTTTATTTTTGTGAAACTTATAATTGAATGGCATGCCACAATAACATGTTCTTTTCTCTGTTGACAGTTCTGCATTCATGTCCGTTGCTGCTCGATATCCGCAAAAGTCAAGCAGCATGTGCAAAGAATACCATGGGGAAGGCACAAACCTGGTAGTTGACAAACCACAAGTGCACATAGTAGAACCAGAAGAGAACACAGAATGGGATGTAAAAGTATTGAATCAGCCTGTTTATGACCAGAGTTCTATGACAGTAGACACCATTGATCATTCTGAAGAAAAAGAAGCTGTCAACAGCAATGATTCCTGCAGAACTGCCAGCAGTTTAGTTAGCTTAATGGATGAATCAAACTGCAGACCGTCAGAATCAGCTCAAATAAATACCAAGGAACACCATAGTCCTACGAGGAGTGGACTAATTACCACTATGACTGAGGAAGGGGAAGAAAAATCAAGTTTCGAGGATGTTACAAAAGAGTTGAATGAAATAGTTTCATCCCAATGCTCTGTCATTTCATCTCAAATTTCTGGAGATATTTCAAATTACCAAAATCCTGAGAAGATAGGATCCTGCTCAGATAGCAACTCAGAAGTAGAAGATCTGTCAAGCACAGCAAAGTTCAACAGATTTTATAAAAGCTCTTCTGTCAGTAAGCTTCTCGAAATGGGAAGTCCAGCCAAGTTACACGAAATTAACAGTCAAAGAAGCAAATCAAGTGGGAACTTAAGAGAATCATACGATCAATCTGCAGGCATGAAGCATGACAGCCCAACAGAAAGCTTGAAAAAATCAATTGTTACTCAAGGCTCTTTAGAAGCATCCAGCATCCCATCTCATGAATATACTTTGAAACCAACCCCTCACTCAGGAGTACTTGAAGTTAACTGCTTTGATCCTCTCAAAACACAGGCTTCATCAAGTGGTTTCTTAAAGAAAAAAGATGAAAATGAGATGAACAGACCTAGTTTTCAAACCAGAGAGTCTGCAGGCCAAGTTGCAACTACCCATTACCAAAGTATTGTATCTCAGGTCCATCCTCTGGAACAAAGCAATCACATGCAGCATAGCTTTTTCAACATTTCTGGACAAACTCAAGATCTTCTGCGGAAAGAAGGTGGGTCAGAGCTTGGTGACCACAAAGATGCTGTGGGGAATGAAACAAATGAGAAAAGTTCTTCCCCAGTAAAATTAAAGAACAGGGGACAAGGAAACGATAAAAAGGATGATTTTAAGGTTAACTGGGATAATTTAAGAATAAAAGCAGAAGCTAAGGCTGGGAAAAGAGAAAAGACAGGAAACACCATGGATTCTTTGGACTGGGAAGCTGTGAGATGTGCAGATGTCAGTGAAATTGCCAATGTCATCAAAGAACGGGGCATGAACAACAGGCTTGCAGAACGTATTAAGGTACTATCAAACTTCCATGAAATATTATTTATCCTTTGTAGAAAGAGACAACCCTTTAATGCAGATTATATTACATGATATACTATGCAGAATTTCTTGAATCGACTGGTTGAAGAACACGGAGGCATTGATCTTGAGTGGCTGAGAGATGTTCCACCTGACCAAGCAAAGTAAGTCCAGTGGTTAATTAAACTACTAAAGTACTAATTCCCATGCATACGATGTAGGCATGTCTTGACTGTATGGTTGGTGAAACCAACATCCTAAACTCTCAATTCACTGTCAACACACACAAGCAGTTAGATTTATTTCATCCAAGCAGAATATATGGGTAATATATATTCAATCTATACATACAGAGAATACTTGCTCAGCATAAGAGGATTGGGATTGAAAAGTGTGGAGTGTGTGCGGCTTTTAACACTGCACCATCTTGCCTTTCCGGTATGTTTAAAACAGAAGTATGCAATTACAGGAATATGGAATAATTCTGATCAGGTATTGCCATGTAACAGGTGGACACAAATGTTGGACGTATAGCAGTACGACTGGGATGGGTACCTCTGCGGCCACTGCCTGAGTCACTACAGTTGCATCTCCTAGAATTGTGAGTACTAAATAAATGATATAAGGCATTGGTTCACTTTGATAAATAGAGCTAATATCATTGTCCTGTGTAGGTACCCAGTGTTGGAGTCTATACAAAAGTATCTCTGGCCTCGACTGTGCAAGCTAGATCAAAGAACATTGTAAAGATTTTTTTTTTTAAATTTACTGCATCAAAATAACAGAAACAGATACAAATGTTTTCTTTGTTTCTGTAAGTTAGCAAGGGTAATTTACCTATTGATTTTTGCACTTTTATGTTTTATTGCAATATATTACAGATATGAGCTACATTACCAGATGATTACATTTGGAAAGGTAAATTTCATTTTCTTATACATAACAGATTGACCGACCCTCCTTAACCAAAGCCCATTGTGATTGGGACAAAACTACAATGAATGCAGGTCTTCTGTACAAAAAGCAAACCAAATTGTAATGCATGCCCAATGAGAGGAGAATGTAGACACTTTGCTAGTGCATTTGCAAGGTATGTTTATAATATATTAAAATTCTTTGCAAAAAAGTTACTGCAATGTAGCATCATTTGGAACTACTTTCTCATACATTAAAACTCTAGAAGGCACTGCAAGGATTATTGTTGGCAATATAGGTAAGGGAACTTGGGAGACAGAATACTAGGAAGTTCATATATCCAGTATTATAATATTCAATGCCTCATTATAAGGACAGCAATATAATTGCATTTTATCCTCATCACAACAGTTAACTTAAGAAACGCCTAATCAGATAATAGCTGAAATGATCTCAGTACCTCGCTGAAATGCAAGAATATGTGTGTATTGCAAAGTTTAGATAGATCAATTACAAATAAACAATATTGTATGCAGTGCAAGGCTTGCCCTGCCTGGACCAGAGCAGAGGAGTATAGTTAGCACAGCTGGAAATAATGTGACTGATCATAACCCATCTGTGATCATCAGTCATTTGTACTTGCCACTCCCTGAGAACACAAACCAAGTAGAAGAAATTCAGCAAAAAGAATTGAGCAAGCAACTGGGATCAAAATCAAAATCTGAAATTAATATCTGCCAACCTATTATTGAAGAGCCGACAACCCCAGAGCCAGAATGCTCACAACTATCACAAAAGGATATCGAGGATGCCTTCTACGAGGATTTGTGTGGAATTCCTACCATCAAACTCGATATAGAAGAGTTCACTTTGAATTTACAAAATTATATGCAAGAAAACATGGAACTTCAAGAAGGTGAAATGTCAAAGGCCTTAGTTGCGTTGAATCCAGAAGCTGCTTCCATTCCTATGCCAAAGTTAAAGAATGTGAGCCAATTACGAACAGAGCATTGCGTGTAAGTTACATATCGAACTCATCTCCAATTAATTAACCTTCAGTGCACTAACGAAATGTCGGGGGAAGAAAGTAATGAATACTGCAAAAGGAAGACCAGCAATCTGTAATTATATATTAGGAATCATTAGTCCTAGAATATTTAAAGATGAATAATTACCCCCTCCCCCCAAAAAAGAAAAAGAAAAAAGAAAACAAAAACAAAAGGCTCAAAAGGATTTTTGCACGTAATACTTGCATAGAGTTTAAACAAGCATCATATTGACAAAGTTCTAACAATTTATGCTGATTTTGTTTTTCACTTTCATCCAGTTATGAACTCCCAGATACGCATCCTCTCCTGGAAGGGGTTAGTTATTGCTGCATCTGTTAATCAAAATGATGTTTTACCCTGTATGACCAACTTTTATTAACTACTTGTGCATTACAGTGGGACACGCGAGAGCCTGATGATCCTGGCAAATACCTTCTTGCTATATGGACTCCAGGTAAGACAAAATAACAATTTCCTCTACCATGCCCCCTTCCAGATGAATTCAGATGGGCTGTTCTTTGTCTGCACAATCAGTTGGGAAAATTTACAATATATGATTTTGTTTCAGTTTTCTGATGTTTTCTAACTCATTTTGCCAAATATATTAATGATTACATTAGGTGAGACAGCAGATTCTATACAGCCACCTGAAAGCAAATGCAGCTCTCAAGAATGTGGCCAACTCTGTAACGAGAATGAATGTTTCTCATGCAACAGTTTCCGGGAAGCAAATTCACAGATAGTTAGAGGAACACTCCTGGTCTGAATGCTTATCAAAATAATCATTTTAACAATATGTTGCTTATTAATTCTTAAACATTATAGCTTAAGAAAAGGGTGAGGGGGGAACATTTGCATATGAATTCAAGCATTATAATACACTGACTTCAATTCATTATAAATATGACCAGATACCATGCCGAACAGCTATGAGGGGGAGCTTTCCACTAAACGGCACCTATTTCCAAGTCAATGAGGTAAAATAGTGTGAAATCACGGGATTGCTAAATCTCTTTTCCTTCTATATTTATATTTTATATCTTTGCAATTTAAGCAGTCCTGGCATGTATCATTCGAAGCAGGTATTTGCTGACCATGACTCAAGTCTCAACCCCATTAGTGTTCCCCGAAGTTGGATTTGGAACCTCAATAGGCGAACAGTATATTTTGGAACCTCCATGCCAACAATATTTAAAGGTAAAGAAGTAATATATTGGGCTATAAATTACAGTGTCAAGCAACGAAGTTGAATATATGATTTTTTTCAATCAGGTTTATCAACACAAGATATTCAACAATGCTTTTGGAGAGGTAAGATTTAATTCCCACAATGTAATCCTGCTTTATTAATTCAATATCCTACTTTAGCCTGTTTCTGTTGATGTGATTAACATATCACTAAATGCAGATGTTTTTAGACATGTGATAGGAACCAAAATGCAGAAAGAAGAAATAAAAGAAAAACATGAAACATTTGTATTGATTAAGGCTGGAAATTCAGCAAGAGCAATACAGATTATGGTGAGAGCTGAGAAATACAATAAAAGGAAAAAAAATACAAGGACAATACTGGTTTCTAGAGCAATTTGAGAGGCTCCAGAGTTCTCTCCCAAAATCTAAAAGGATCCCAATTCCCAAAGATATCCCAGATACCCTCACACACTTCACATTCTTCATCTTATACCCAGTCTTACTTCCTAGAATATTCTATTCTCCCTCCAAAAGTTAGTTATGCCACCTCATTAGTAAAAAATAATCCCCTACTACCCCCACCTTACATACGCCTTTATGAATATATTCCTATCAACATGCTAGGGGACCAAAGGACTAGAGAAACGCACTTTTATTACTTTATTTGCTAGAAACATGTGGACGCCACCATATTGTGCCACCTCCCATCTATGGCTTTTAGGTTAATTTTGCAAATATCTAATCATCTATACCAAGACAAGGGGGAGCGTAGCGGGAATTTATTATATATGCCACTTCTGTAATTGCTGCTCAAGTTTGCTGCTTTAGCATAAGCTAACAACAGTATGCAAACAATATCAAAGACATCACCTAGCAAATCAACCAAAAACACAACTGCTTTCACAAGCAATGAGAAAGATATTAAATACAGCCTAATTACTAGGGTAAATTATTTGTGTAACAGAGAGGTATTAACTTGTCTTCATCTCATCCAGAAGTATTTTGTGACATGGTCAAGTCTATGTGACAACTTGCACTGGTTACTACCAAATCCACCCCTATAGTGTACTTCCGGCATCAAAACTCTTTAATCATTAACTGAAACCCATGATAGCAATTCCCTTGTAGCTTGATCCATTGCAGTCCATTCTAAAACTAATTCTAGCGGCCTTGTTTTCTCTTATTTTATAGTTATTTCATAGTCGGCCTTCCATAAGACATATTCCCTTTTCCTCGTGGAAAATTCACATCTGCACACACACACATTAAAATAGTTTTAAGTACGTTTGACCTGTCTATAGATTTTTACCAAATTCCAAGTCCTTGTATTTTCTTACTCTTCTGTATAATACACTATCTTGATTCCTTGCTTTTCTGACCTTAATCTGCAGTTCTTGCTTAGATACCATTATGAAGACTTCTATATGTTTTAGTACCTCGAAATACAAATGAAAAGTGCAAACTACTAAGAATAAAAGCACACACTTAGAACTTTAAAAGTTAAATTTTATAACATAAATATACTAAACAACATTTTAGCTCTTGCTGTTGTTTTTGTTAACTTGAGAAAAGAAAAGAAAAGAAATGATTAAGAACCATTCCTCCCTGTTAGCAGGAACCAACATGAAAACTGAATAGCAAAGCAAGTATCCAGATTACCTAGCCTATCTTAACAAATGATTAAAATGCATTGCAGGGTATGTCTGTGTGCGGGGGTTTGACAGGGGATCGCGAGCACCCCGTCCTCTGATGGCTAGACTACACTTCCCAGTTAGCAAGATGACCAAATACAGAGAGAAGACAAGAAAAGAGGCGACTTCAGCAAAATCAAAAAGAAAGAAACTAAATCCAAATCCAGAACACCCCGAATTGATTTCAAACAGTCACAACCTTCAGGAGAGTGGAAGAGCCTGAAGACAAGTCGGTATTATTTATATCCCATACCGTGTTGTCCAGTAGCATGTATATAAACTTAACTTCAAGCTCTTATCATGTTCAAAGACTGAGCAGTTTTTCCAGACAAGGACCCAATAATGTATATTGGTAACACATAGACTCTAGCTTCTTGTTTTGAAAAAATATTAAATGAAGAGGTGTGAGCCATATAATCCCCCAAAAAGCTCCCGTAGAGAATATTCTATATTCAAATATTATGTCCCTCACTTCAACCACTCCGCTTGCACTTTTAATCAGATTTTTCACTTCTCAGCGTTTCATGAACAAGATATTGATTTTTATGGCAGACAAAATATGACCAAAAAAAAAAAAATTGTCCTCTCTGGATTAACTCACTAGTCCAAATTCTATTTCTAATTAGCAACAAAAAATGAATCCTAACTCAATGGCAATTGTTCTAAGCTAAGTAAAACTAGAAACAAAAATAGTTTCTCTCCAATTCGAATGCAATGCGAGCTAAAAAAATTCTAGTGTAGTGAAATTATATACATATGTATGGAATGGAAACTATCGTTATGCTGTGCCGGTCTGTTATGGTAAGAAGATCTGAAAGGAAACCGAAAGACCCATCGTGGGTGAAAGACTATGGTAATAAACGGAGAATATTGTTGAGATATATAGTCCCACATTGGTTGTATGTGCAACTAAGGTGGCCTTTATTAAGGCCTTGGGCACTCTCACCCTTTGAACTAGCTTTTAGGGTGGTATATCTCAAGGTTCCTTACATGGTATCAGAGCCTCACCGTCCCTCACTTTAAAGTGGAATTAAAACAAAAAAGCACAAAAGGTAAACCAAAAATTGGGCCTGTGCATAATCCACGCTTCAAGCCCAAAGGACTCTTGTGTGAGGGGGCGTGTTGAGATATATAGTCCCACATTGATTGTATGTGCAACTAAGGTGGCCTTTATTAAGGCCTTGGGCACTCTCACCCTTTGAGCTAACTTTTAGGGTGGTATATCCCAAGGTTCTTTACAAATATAAATAGGATATGGATGTATCATGTATGATGTAGAGGAGAGTATCCACGCGTAGTCATGCAGACGTGTGATATGAGTTAGTCAGGTGTAACCGTACAGCTGATGTAGTTAAATAACAACTCGCAGTTACATAGGAACCATGTATATAAGGGTAAAAATTGATTATACCAATTGATACCAACTTTGGAAGCTACTCGACCCAAAAGCTAACTTGTAAAATAGGAGAGATTCCATATAAACTCCACACTAGAATTTTATGTTTCCAATGTAAGTCCCACACCTTACAACTAGGTCATAACAAGTTGTCTCGCAATTTTCTGATATCCTTTTCGTTACAGATTTTCTCTATTTAACACAAATTGGCATCCTCAGAATGACCACCATTGCCATAACAAACTAACCGAAAATAATAAAGAAAATTAGTCAAATAAAATATAGAAAAATTCTAAAAGCTTATAAAGAAAATTCTAGTAGTTTATAAGGTATGTACAATAATTGGGTTATGACATTTCATCCCCTTCAAACCAACCTCGTCCTCGAGGTTGAGTTGCTTTACCATTGGGATCAAAGATGATGCATTGAGCAATAATTCCGTGACATTTGAGTTTACAACACAGATAGGGAAACTTTGCACCTCCAAACCATTCAAAGGTTGGAACAACATGTTCAGCAAATATTCCAACTTTTATTTCCTCCAAGACATTCCAGTTTCCAATCTCACAGTTTGGTTGATAAGAATGATTTATAAATCTGGCAAGGCTTGCTTTTCTAGTTGCATCCATAGATTTGAATGGGCAATAAGGCAAATGATAAATGCATTTTCTAGACCTTGAATTTCATAAACCTGAGATCTATGTTTGGCTTCGTTCCATGATATTTTTTCTTCCCAGTATTGAATGACAAGTTGTCCTGCCTCAATGTTCTTATCAATCAAAAGGCCCCACCCTCCTAGTCTTGTTATAGGGTCATGATAAACAGCTCAAACTCATCTAGTTTGCTGGAGTGCTCAGGCCTAAATTCACAATGATGCAAGCTCAATATGTCAGCTGCCCTTTCTTTCTACACTTCATCTATTAGTAAAGGCAACAACAAAAATGAAGCTCCAGGTTGCATCAGCAAAGAAATTGGCTATTTTACCCTTTTGCCCTTAATTAAAATAAATATTACCGCTTTGCCCTTATACCAAAACATAATATCAATCTGCCCTTGTTTGATCATTGACTGAGATATGTACTCGAGTACAGGAGGTTGATGATACTCAAGTATATTACGCGAAATAATAAATACTCAGATACACAGGTAACATACTCGAGTATTGTTCGTGATCTGGGTTTTTATGAACATTTACTCAAGTACATGGGTGGTGTACTCGAGTAAATGTTTATAAGAACCCATATCACGAACAATACTCAAGTATTCAACCCAAGTTACTTGCGAGAGCTGGGGTTTTTTTTATAAAACTCTCATATCAGGCATTTCTGACCGTTAACTGGATCAAGTAATCGATTATACCAGTATACGGTAATCGATTATATCTAGTGTACTAAGCCATATAAATTGTTTTCCACAAGATTTTTTGGATCAAACAATTTTCTATGATTATATACTCATAATATTATACTTGACTCGGTAAACTGAGGAGGGGTTTTGTGAGTGTCACAAGACCAATTTGTATTATAAAATGTGGAAAATTTTACCATAAAACTTCAGAAGGCTATAACTTTTGACTCGGATGTCCAAATCAGGTGCTTTTTTTTATTCCACATAACTTTTCGAGAGCTATGCGCTGGCAAATACCCGAAGGGGATTTGGTTCAAAAAATGCTTCTGTGTCCTGTTTGACATATTTTTCTTTGCAAATGATGTTATTTAAATTTTTACTTTCCAACACTAACAAATAATCATTTGGGAATTTTCTAGAGCGTAGATCTCAAAAGGTTACATGAAACAAATAAAAAATACCTGATTCGGACCCTCGAGTTAAAAGTTATGGCCTTCCGAAGTTTTATGGTAAAAAATCATCATACTCGAGTACAGAGCCCTGATACTATCGAGCATCATGGTCCTGTACTCGAGTAAAAACTTATGACACCTGATTTACTCAAGTATGTTGGTTACGTACTCGAGTCTGAGCGCCAGTCAACTGTCAAACAGAGACAGATTGGTGCTATGTTTAGGGGAAAGGTTATATTTTTTAAATAGTTTAAAAACGGGGGCATAGTGGTATTTTTTAATTTAATTAGGGGCACAATGATCAAAAAGCCCAAAGAAATTGGTTCGGCAACTTTCTCCAAGAACTCTTTGCTCAAGTAAGGAGGATCTGTAATTACAACCTTGCATAAATGCTTTAATGCTGCTGGTAACTCCTCATGGACTTCTTGTCATTTAACATCTAAACACCGAAGTCAGCGCTCAGCAAGCTAATCAAGCACTGCATGAACCACATTCTCTTTGCAGTTGCAAAGGCTGAATATATGCTTAGGAGCCCTTTTATTAGCTTGATGCCAATGCCAATTTCTATCTAAATCCATGTAGGTTAGAGCATTCTTTTTGTCTAAAGAATTGAATGGAAAGAAATGGCCCTCCATTTTTGGGTCAACAGCCGCCAACAATTGCTACATCTATAGCATTCTGAATTACCGTTAGAGGAGCTCTGGCTGCTAGAAGGACAATGTGCTCCTTCAAACACCTTTAGCGGACACCTCACTTAAGTTTATATCAATACTTAGCTCATTCAAGTTGAGAGTCTCAGTTTCATCACCGCAAAGAACGACCATTATGTATTCATCACACAATTTTGTGGCAGTAGGTGCATCAATAACATTGAATAGATCAACCAAAAGAAAGAGCATGAGCAATTGGTTGTATCCATTTTGTTTGAGAAACATGGACAAACTTTGCATAAACTTCCAAAGTTCTCCAAGTATTAGGAACTTCTCTTAAAATATCTACCAAGAGAATAGATTTTCCTGGGCCAATTACTGCAACGACAACCATCTCTTGATTCTTTCGCATTGTTTCATAATTGGAGAAAACTAAATATTTGCACTAGACAAATCGCCTGTGACCAATTGCAGAGATATAAGGAATCACAAGGTATCACCTTCCATTGTAAAAAGAGCTAATTCGAGGCCACTCTTGTGGCAGTTTCTTAAAAGGGAAAATGTTCTCCATGTAGTTGCTACATATCTGCCCAAGTTTATGATGTTTCTTTCATAACATAAGGAAAATAATTTTCAAATATATGAGACATACTGAAACACACCAGAAGCCCGATCCACAAAATCTTGCTCGAATATTCCAGAAACCCCTTTCCTGAACCCAATTGTATTATTAACGCGCTCAGGGTAGAGTAGAGAAGGAATAGGTTGTCTGTTATGAATGAACATGGAAACCATAGCTTACTCGCATGGAGGAGGAAGAGTAAGCCATTAAAGCACCAATGTAGAGATACAATTGATTACACATAGAAGATATTGAGGAAGGAGAGAAGAAAGGAAGAACGAGGTAGAGAACAAGAGAGAAAATTAGAGAGTAAAAGAGAAAGAGAGAGAGAGAGAGAGAGAGAGAGAGAGAGAGAGAGAGAGAGTTGTCTAGCAATTTTCTTATATCCTTTTCATGACATAAAGTGGCATCTACAGAATCACCACAGTTGCCATAACAAACTAACCAATAAATAATAAAGAAAATTAATCAAATGAAATATAGAAAATTCTAATAGCTTATAATTGTGTAAACAGAAGGTATGAAAATAATACTTGCAGAAGAAGTAGAACGGGTGGAACAGGGTTTGGTGGATAGATTTGTGATCTTGAAATCCAACGTTGCCCAATCCATGAAGCAATTCTTGCACTGCAAACTCGTTCGTCTCACCAAGTTCCTAATCGTCCACCGCAAGAAGCATCGGACTCTGAATCCTTTCCACAGAATCCACCTCATTAGGCATAGGAGTAACGAAGAGGAAACTATATTATAGAGTAGAGGTTTCAACGTACCTTTCAAATTGTCGCGCGCTGAAAGAGAAGAAGTGAATATTAAAAATAAAAAAAAAAAAGATCTGAATTTCCTGAGAGATTGAGAGGAGAGAAAGTGAGAAAGAGAAAGGTGTAGAGTTGATGAAATTATGAAGGGGTGTGCAAATTGGCGCTTTTTGCCGCCTTGGCGCCATTTTGTTATGATTTTCTTCGCTCCTATATTTCAATTCTTTTGTTTATCTCGTGAGTCTCGCGGTGTTTGCGGCTGGATTCGACTGGTTGGGCCCGGTTGAGTTCAGTTAGGTTGGGTTCCTTTTTTGTGCTTTCGGTTCAAAGCCCAAATCAAAGAGGGTTAGTCTAGAGTAGTGGTGGAATTCAAGTGATTAAGATTGAGATCTCACATAAAATTAGAAAGGTACGAAAAAATCATAAATTGTTGGATCAACACGGATCATAAAATATTATGTTTTTTATTTTAATTATAAAAAGTATTAAGTATTTATATTCCTTATTTTAATTATAAAAATTATATATATTGAGCTTTTCATTTTTAAATATTTAATAATTAAAAAAACTGAAAAGGGAGAATTAATATATATATTTTTTTTTTGGGGGGGGCCCCGGATTACAAACTATTTCAAAAAAAATGACATGGACTCAATATTCGAATAATATTAAACAAACGAAAAATAAAAAATAAAAAGTACAGCTATAGTCATGTACAAGTCGCACAACTCAAGGTAGCAGCATTCTACAACTTTTTGACTTGAAACTCCAGAGAAAAAAGTGGACAACAGAAGCACACACTAGCGGGAAGAAGAGGATCGCTCTCACAATTGCAAAAACGCACACGCAAGAGATGAGAGAGTTACCATTGCACCGTCAAGCGCAGACCAGTCCTGCCACTGTTAGATCCAAACATGATCTGGCATCTACTTGCAGTTGCAGGTTCAGTCTGCAAGTCAGGGTGGTTGACGACACAGACTCTACTTTGTTTATTTTATTTGACAAAGATGCAACCAACCTGTTACGCCTTACAGCTGCATAATTGCGTGAGCAGCATTTTCAAAGGGCAAGTCTTATGTGTCTTGTGTTCATTTGCTTGTCCTAACATAAACCCATTAACTGGTAATTTGCATATTTGATTTTAGGGTGGTGACTTAGACAAATACCCTCAAGAGCTTGATGCTCTGATTGACAAGTCATATCTGTTTAAAGTCAATGTCAAAAAAAGCAATATTGATTCTTATGAGGAAAGTGCTTACCATGTGAACAAGGTTTGTTGTGACGAGGACATCATCTAACAATCTCGAATGATAAAAAAGATGAACATGTAAATTACTATTGAATTAAAATTAATGGAATAATTATGTAATTGAAATGTTACTGTTGCTATGATTATGCAGCATGCTTGGTAATTGTGAACCTGTTAAATGCAGGGTACTGTGCATGATGAACAACATAATGTCCTTGAAAACACTCTCAGTGAAGTAGATGACAAATTGTCCACTGTACAAAAGACTTTGGTACATGCTTAACTTATTTATAATCTTTATCTTGCTTTCCTTACTTCTGAATGCAATGTGATCTTCAATACATATACAAGAATTCAACGACCAAAATAAAGACATGGCAGTAACTCCTACCAGAAACTTGCAAAGACAGAGAAGCGAAAAGAAGTTAAGGATGCAGATTTGGTTACATGTTTGAGACCAACTAAGGTCATGAAGATTGAGAAAGATTGATCATAATAGTTATTATATACTGTGATGTTTTTGGATTAGGATTATGGGCTATAATATATACTTGCGTCTACATGATTATGAATTTTGGGATGGTATGTAAAAAACCTTTCGTTATCATCAAGCCTTTTTGTTCTAATGTATTATGTATGTTCTAATTATATTTGATATGATTAGAACATTAGTATCCTTGTGATTACTATCATTACACGTCTCTTCTGATCCCCATTATTGTCGTTATTAGCACACACAAGTCATGTTATTACCCATGGTTTTGGGCATATTTGCACAATTTGACAACATAAAATGCTTCATTATCCAGCTTGCAAAAAAAAAAAAAAAACAGTTCCAGAGTTCTTTTCGAAGTAATAGAACCAAACAGTAATAAGTTATAATTGAAATAACAAATCAAAATTAACATGGCAAGCCATCCTTAGATAAGGTAACAGTAAACTCAAAAGCATGGACATGATGATAAAACACAATTGAAAGATTGGTGAATGATAAGTATAACTTATGATTATAAAATTATTTGAATTAAATGCATAATATTTCCAAAACATTGTTTATTCCTCTAATACTCCCCCTCAAGTTGGAGCATGCAGATTCAAAATGTCCAATTTGGATAACACACTACGGGTGGCTCATCTTAAATGAAAACTATTAAGATTGGAATTTTGTTAGCAAAATTAATTAAACCAAATTATAGAAAAAATATGGAAGTGTCCCTTCGTTACGTAAACTAATCAGGCTCAATTGTGCCACAATTACTTCCCTTATATAGTGGGGGAGAAAGATAAATAAATCATAGAAAAATTTTGTTGGCAAATTAATTAATTAAACAAAGAAAAAAAGTATCTAATGTTACTTTAGACAATTTTGTCTGATGTTCACCGAAACGATATCGTTTTGGGGTTAAAAAAAAATAGAATGATAAAGACTATTATAACTATGAAATAAATTAAAATTACAAATACTCCATGATTTTTTGTTCCAAAACGACGTCGTTTCGGTGAACATTAGACAAAATTGTCTAAGGTAACTTTAGAAAAATTGAACTCTTAAACAAATTATAGAAAAAATATGGAAGTGTCCCTTCGTTTTCATATGTAAACTATTAACTATCTTCATACATTTTAATCCTATAATTATGCTGACAACTAATTCTATTCAATGCAGAATATTAACATACTAGCTAATTATGTTGACAACTAATTCTATTCCTATAATTACATATACATTAAATGCAGAATATTTCCAAAACAATGTTTGTTTCTCTAATACTTCCACTCAAGTTGGAGCATGCAGATTCGAAATGCCTAACTTGAATAACACACTATGGGTGGCTCATCTTAAATGACAACAATTAAAATTGAATTTTTGCTGGCAAAAATAATTAAACCAAATTTTAGAAAAAATATGGAAGTGTCCCTTCATTTCCAGACTTAAATTAATCCGACTCAATTGTGCTAAAGTAATTGCCCTTATACAGCGAGGGAGAAAGATAAATAAATTATAGAAAAAAATTTGGCAAATTAATTAATTAAAATAAATTATAGAAAAAATATGGAAGTGTCCCTTCATTTTCAGATGTAAACTATTAACTTCCCTTCATATTCATTTTCAGATGTAAACTATTAACTTCCCTTCATACATTCTAAGCCTATATTGTCATATGTTGACCTTGACCAAAAACATGCGACTTCATTCACAAGGTTCTAATAACGATGTCATGGAGATTAAAATGTTCTTTGAATCGCTTCTTGATGTTGGTGACGACAACATTGGTGACAATGTTGATAGATTCTCTATCATAAAAATCCCATATGAAATCTTGATCAATGATTCCAATGATTTGCTCTCAGATTTAGCAGAATTTACATATCCAAATCTTTTGAAAAATATGGATAATTCATCTTTCTTCCAAGAACGTGTTATCTTAGCACCAATATTAGCTGATGCCTGCATGTTAAATGAGTACTTAATGTCAATAATTGCAGGTGAAGAGAAGATATATCTTAGTTCAGATAAAATCTATAAAGCATAAGGGAATAGCAATCTTGAGGAAGAAGCATTTCCTCCAGAAATACTTAACATTTTTTCTATAACTAGACTTTCTAACCATAAATTGACGTTCAAAAAGGGAGAGTTTGTCATGCTTCTGAGAAATATAGATCAATTAAGAGGGTTGTGTAATGGGACAAGATTGCTTATTACAAAACTTGGTGAACATGCTGTTGAAGGAAAAATTCTTTCAGGCAATAACATATGTGAGATCGTGACAATTCCAAGGATGAATTTGAGTCCTTCTAATTACACATTCCCTGCAACTTTTGAACACAGGAAATTTTCGTTGGTTGTTTGCTTTGCAATGACAATAAACAAGAGTCAAGGTTAGACTATATCTCATGTAGGAATTTATCTTCTTAGACCAATTTTTACTTATGGCCAATTGTATGTTGCTCTCTCTAAGAAGGAATTAAAGGTTCTCATACTTGATGATCATAGCACAATTGCTAATACCAAAAAAAACACTGTGTTCAAAGGAATTTTCCAAAGGTTGAAATAAGTTAATTTGTCTTATTTATTTAACTATTTTACATTAATTTATAGAATTTGCTATTTTACTATATTATGTAATAAACATGTAATTTTACTATTTATTTAGTTATATTTTATACTTTTTACTTACCACCATCTCGTGCAAAGGCACGAGTCATAGACTAGTTTTTGTTCAAAGCCTAAATCAAACTTGTATGTATTTTTGTTGTTTGATTGATATTTAAATCTATAACATTATGTAAAAGTGTAAATTATTCAAATATCTCACCATTAATTCACTCTTAATGGCTTGATAATTAAGTCACCTTATTGAAACAAAACCAAAATTAAAGTTACTTTTGGTATGATAATTAAAACGTCTCACTCTTAATGCTTAATAATTAAGTCATTTTATAGAAACATTACTTTTGTATGATAATTAAGGGATAGGTTATTCTGCCTACTCTTATTTTGCCTACCCCTCTCAACACCGTTAGATTACAATCTCATCCAATGGTGGAGAGTTGCGAAATAAAATAAACATTTTTCCCTTTTCTTTCTCATCACTGCCTCCCACACTCTTTCTCCCTCCTCCCCTTTCTCTCTATCGATTTGTATAATTTACAACCTGAATTTATATTTGAATCTAAATCTATGCAATGATTAATGACAGAAATCACAAAAATACAAAAAAAAAATCACGAATAATCTCTTTCTTTGAATTAATCCATGATTAACATAACATTTCTACTTTGCTGTTGAAATTGAAAATCGAATCAACTTATCTCCTTCTTCTTATCTTGTTTTTCACCTGGGGAAATGATCTCTGTTCTCTCTATGTTATGCCTAATATGGCATCTGAGTTTGTTTCTTCTTGACACCCCATTTAAATTTTTTATGTGAATGCTCATAAAAATGGCTGGGTTGGATGAAATAAGAAAAAAACTTACACCTTTTTTTGATGCTGAAGTGCCATTGAAAAGAGAGAAAGGGGAGGAGAGAGAAAGAGTGAGAGGCACTGGGAAAGAAAAAGGGGCAAAAGAGTTTATTTTATATCATAAATCTTCACCGTTGGATGAGATTGTAATCCAACGATGTTGAGAGGGGTAGGCAAAGGTAGGCAAAATAAGAGTAGGCAGAATAACTTATCCCGATAATTAAAACGCCTAATTGTTTTTTTGGCATGCTAATTGTATCCATATTAAATTCTACATTTGTAATACAATTTTATCTACACAACAGTAGGCCTAAAATTTCAATAATTTATAGTTGTGTAAAATTGTAGAGTTGTTAAAACAAGCAATTTGTCCCATTAAGCCCTAGCCCAAGTAAGTTAGGATAAAAAACTCCACAATAATAAAAGCTAGTATAGGCCAATTGCCTATGAATCCCACTATAGGCTAGGGTCGACTCGTAGGTCATCTAAAATTATAATTTTAACAAATTTCATCTCTATTTTAAGATTCGATGCATTCAAAATTATTTTAACAAACAAATATTTAACATGTTGTTAAAAAAAAGTACACAAAATATTATTTTTTGTAATTTAATTTTTTAATTGAATAACATTTGCACACAAATATACAACTAAAATGCAAAGCAAAATTTAAATAATTTTCCTAATGATCGTTGAACATGTGGTTTTATATAAAAAAAAAAAATTTGAAGTCCTCACTTCTTATTATTTCACGGAATAATAATATCAATTATTAAGTAATACTTACATATAGTGAAAATTTCTATTATTCATTAATACTTTCGATACATGAGAAAATTTTAACGGTTTGATTTTTTCATTTTTTCAGTAAAAGTTAGTTAAACAAGACTTTGTATAACTCTTTCAATTTTTTTGCTGCATTCTGCAACAAATCAAATAATATTGAAATTTAAAATACTTTTTCATAATTTAAACAAGTTTTTACTAAAACTCTATACTTTTAATATTTTTAAGTCTGTTTTTACTAGTCTTTAGCAATTTAAATTTTGTTAATGAATATTCATATTTATATACGTTATTACGTATCGTTATTATATATTTTAATTATAATTTTATAATTAGTAAAAATCTAATTGAAAAACTTGGTTAAATTATATAAAAACCAAAAATTGAGACCATTGATCTATTATTAATGGTTGAGATTTATCACATGACATGGCCATGTTAAAATTATACACAATAAAATCTATTCCGATATATAATAAATTAAATTCTTATATTTAAATAAATATTCATAGAACTAGAAGACTTCATTGTTTGGCTCTCCACTTGATTTTCCACATGGCACTTACACTGTTCATGTTTGTAATCGTCTATTGCAAAAATTGATTTAACACATATATGAAATTCATTATTTGGAGAGTATAGAATCAGGATTTAATTGTACTTTGAAATCATTTAAATGGCAAGACCAACTTACTCCTTGTATTAATAAGAAGTTATACGCTAAAACAAGTTAACTAACTTGCTTACTGATACATATACTACTAAAAAATGCATTTTTTTGGACGGAAAAATTCCGTCAAAAATGGTTAAAATTCCGTCGAAAATAAAATTTTCGACGGAAATGAAGCCGTGGTATATCTCTTCGTTGATAACAATTTTTTCGACGGAATTAGAGATTCCGTCGAAAATTTTCGACGGAAAATCAATAAAATTCCGTCAAAAATTTCTGTGATAGCTTTCGATGGAAAAAGGATTCCGTCAAAAGTTTTCAACGGAAAATCAACAAATTTCCGTCGAAAACTAATGTAAAGATTTTCGACGGAAAACAAATTCCGTCGAAAATTTTCAACGGAAAATCAACGTAATTCCGTCGAAAACTGATGTAAAGATTTTTGACGGAAAATAAATTCCGTCGAAAATTTTCAACAGAAAATCAATGTAATTCCGTCGAAAATTGTGGAAAAAGTTTTCGACGGAAAATGAATTCCGTCAAAAGTTTTCGATGGAAGATCAATACATTTCCATCAAAAATTGATTTGAAGATTTTCGATGGAAAACATATTCCGTTAAAAAAAAATTATAATTTATTTTTTAAAATTTCTCTTTACAAAATGAATACCAATTTTCTATACTACACGCGATAAAAAATATAATCAAAATAAACAACATATCAAAATCAAATCACCTTAATCAAAATCAAATCTCCTTAATCAATACAATAAAATCAAATCTCATTTGCCTTTATCTCCTTAACAAATAAATATATTTTGTAACCTTAAAAAATTAACAAATAAAATTATAACATATCAATACACAACGCAAAACTGACTTTATAATTCAACGTAATAAATTCTTCTCAGTTTTTTTTTGAACTTCACATCAATATACAATCCTTTTATTCATTGGCCTTTTTCTCCGTCTCTGACCATCTTCTTCATCAGGAGCTTCATCTTCCAACTTGGAACTGTCTACGATGGGGGAAATGCCTAATTAATAAAATCACATCATAATCAATCCCTAAGATCATGTATATTTTAAGATCATATTTTAAAATAAATTTAAGAAAGAAATAAACACAATAAGAAATCTTTACCTCCTCTGCTCTTAAGGTCCAATACTGATCATTAATACTCTGAATCAGCAGGCCTACATTTATCAGACACCTAAAGTAAATTGCAGAAAGCCAATGAGAATTCATTTTTTGCGAAACGAAGAACCAGTAAAATAGAGCTTGATTCAAAAAAGTGACTCACGGGTTGACATGGTGCAAGTAACTTGTACTCAATCAAGGCAACATATGGAGTGAAAGGAAATTAAAGTTACATGCGAAGAAAAAGAAAAAGAAAAGAAAAATTACATTAAAATTAACTTGTACAAAGCAAGTAACTTGTACTCAATCAATCAAGTAACTTGTATAACTTGTACAAAGCAAGTTACATGTTGTTTATCCTCTCAACATAACAATGATGCTATCCCTCCGCCTGCGAGGCAACAAAAAAAAAAAAAACCACCACCACAAGAAAGAAAAAAGGAGTTAACATCAGCAAAATTCCATTTAGGTCCAATAAAGATTAGCAGTACATAATCCGTACTAATACCCTACCACATAAGTAAGAGATTGGAGTATAAGACAAATGTGTAGCCAAGAGAATTAATAACAAACCTGAAATTGTGGGTAACATCAGCAAAATTCCATTTAGGTCCATTAAGGATTAGCAGTACATAATCCGTACTAATACCCTACCACATAAGTAAGAGATTGGAGTATAAGACAAATGTGTAGCCAAGAGAATTAATAACAAACCTGAAATTGTGGGTTTAGGGTTTAGCACTAAACAGGGTGACCAGCTTTTCAGAATCCACAACATGATCAATAATGTAACCATTACCCATTCCATCAAAATCATCCCTTTTCCCCCTAGAATCAGGACCTTCATGTGACCTGATGATCAACTGAAAAAGAACATAAGTGACGATCCATATATCAGAAAGAAGTTGCTAGATAAACAAGAAACTATCATATACACATACAAAGAGCAACAACATAACACAGAATCGAAATC